GGGTGGGGCCGACCGGGAGGAAGTGCGGCAACGCACTGCATTTTGGGTCCGGAAGTGGCGACCACGCTGCTAGTTGGCAGTCATGGCGTCTCTTAATCGGAAGAGGTGAGTTTGAGGGTCCGAGGATCTGTTGAGCCTCTGGCCTTACGGTTATCCAAAAGGGTCCTCTTTGCCCCTTCCCGTGCTCCTGGGGCGGGCTTGGCTGGCGGGCGCTGTGACTGTAACGTCGTGATGATGCACAGGCGCTTGTCGGAGCTGACAGTAGATGAATTCCTGGCTTCGGGCTTTGATACCGAGTCTGAATCAGAACCTGAGGGCGCCCCGGGAGCGGAGGCGAGGACGGCTTGTGGAGATGCCCAGAAGCCGCAAAGGCAGAGCGAGAACCCGCAAAGGCAGAGCGAGAACCCTTCAACCAGGTAAGCGAGACGCTTCTTCCCACGAAACGTATACAGTGGAACTCCATCCTAGACCCACCTCGCCTCTAGGACACCTATTTCTTTTGGAACTTCGGAGCTGAGCCCTAAGCACCATCTTCTTTCATATTTTCTAACGTAGTGTGCGCTGAGTCCTGTGTCCTCTTGTCGTTTTGGAGGATTTGTGGGTTTTTTCCCCCAAGTGTGCTTGGTTAGCATTGATTGTATGATAGCAAAGTTTTCGTTTTGAGTATATTGTGTAGCCTTAGGCTAGAGATCATTGCTGTTGTTTTGTAGCATAGAGTCGGAACTGACTCATAGCAGACCCTCTGGTGGATTCTCAGAGGCAGTTAATCACACGGGAGGAGAATGCCCATCCTTCTCCCACGGAGCAACTCATGGCAGCGCAGCTTCTTGCCACTTCCTTTGGCTTTTTTAATCCCCTGTTTTTTGGTGACTTTTTACCGTCTTTATGGATGATACAGATGTCATCCCACAACTCTTCTTCAGTCATTAGTGTTCAATGCTTCAAACTTACCTTAAGATGATTTTTAAATTCAAGTGGGATACACCCAAGATCATATTTTGGTGCTTGCAGACTTGTTTTAATTTTCTTAAGCCCAGTTTGCACTTGCACATGGGTAATTGACGGCCAGTTCCACAGTCAGTGCCTGGCCGGGTTTTGACTGCTAAGGTTGAGCTTTTCCAACACACAGATGTCGTCAGTCGATTCCTATGCAGTCCATCTGGAGAGGTCCATGCATAAATTTGCTGTTTGTGTTTTTTTTCAAAAAAGGATATTTGCAATGAATAAGTCACTGAGTGTACACATTTCAGTCCTTCTATTTCTCACCTCGTATCTGTCACTAACGTGACATTCCTACTGGTCTTCCTTCGTCATTGTTTCCAGCTGTTCATTCCAGTCATCAGTTATCATTACCTCACTTGCATGTTTGGTTAATTTTTTTTTATTGCAAAATTTGGTAAAAACCTCCAATTTCCTTCTCTTTGGCCTTAGCTGTTGGTCTGTACATTTGAATCATAGTTGTATTAACAGGTCTTCCTTGGGTCCATGTGGATAATATCTTATTTACAACATTGTGCTTCAGTGTAGAACTTGAAATTATCTTTATTACTGTGAATGCAACAACATTCTTCTGTTTTTCATTTCCAGCATAGTATGCCATGTGATTATCTGATTAAAAGTGGCCAAAGCTAGTCCATCTCATATCAATGTTCATGTGATTCATTTTTCACAACCTGTAGTTTTCCAGCATTTATTCTTTATACATTTCATATTTCAGCTATTAAAGAATGTTTGCAGCTGGTTCTTCTTTTGCTTGCTTTTCCAATTTGGGCTTTGTCTCTAATATAATAACTACTCATGTTCCTCTGTTGTTTATAGAGTTTTCTGAGGTCTGCTTTTTAAGAAGTGGGTGGCCAGTCCCGCTTCCTATTTTTTCTTAATCTGAAAGCTTTACTAAACCTATCCACTATGGGTGCCCCTCCTGGCATTTGACACAGTAGTAGTAGAGCTTTCAGCATCACAGCACCCACAAACTACCTAAGTACAGCAAACTGACAGACAAGTACTGTACTAATAAGAACAATTGCAAATAAGACTATAGATACTTTAAGCTATAATAGTGTTAGTATATTTTGGAGGAACATTATTCTAAGTGGTACAGTATTCTTCTGTCATTTTGCTGCAGCCTGGGGTTGCTGTGATGCTGAACCTTGTTTCATTGGGGTGTCAAATGCCTTAATGATTATCTGTGGTGGGCAGTGTTTGGTGGAGCTCAACATGCCTCTGGAAACTGTATGAACTTGGGAGAAATGATGATAGTTATAGAAAGGCTTCAGGTCAGTTGTTCATAGGGTCTCTATGAGTCATACTCAACTTGACGGCAGTCAACAGCAATACATACTTAAACTGTAAGTTACAAAGGAGCAGTGATATCAGGTTGAGGACTGAGGTGCACCTGACTCAGGCCACAGTCTTTTGATCACTCACTTACTGCATCTGAGAGCTGGATAATGAAGAAAGATGATAGAGGAAAAATTGATGCCTTTAAGGTTTGGTGTTGGAGAAGAGTACTAAATATCCCATGGACTGTCAAAAGAACAGATATGTCTTGAGAAGTATAGCCAGAGTGTTCCTTGGAAGCGAAGATGAAAACCTTTTTCTCACATACCTTGGACATGCTGCTATTTCCGTTGTTTTTGTTGTTACATGCCGTCAAGTCTCTTGTGACTCATATTGACAACAGCTCTGAACCCTGCTCTATCCTGAGCCAACCTTATTGTCTCTGACACTGTTTCAATCCATCTCATTGAGGGTCTTCCTCTCCTGTGCTGTCCCTCCACCCTCCCAAATATGACATCCCTCTCCAAGGACTGGTCCCTCCTTGCAGCATGCCCAAAGTATGTCTATCAGATGGAGCTTCAGAATCCTTGCCTCCAAGGAGCAGCCTGGTTTCACCCTCTCCAGGTCAAATCTGTTTGTTCTCTTAGCAGTCCGTGGTATATTCAATACTCTTCTCCAGCACCACAGCTCAAAGGCATTAGTTCTCCTTCTATCATCCCTAGTCATTGTTGCTAGAATAGGTTGTTGCTTGAAAAGGTAATGGGACAGTGAAAGCGAGGAAGACCCTTAACCGGATGGATTGATACAGTGACTGCAGCAATGGGTCCACACTTGTCAGATGGGAGGATGGCACAAAAATAGGACAGGGTTCAAATCTGTTGTTCATAGGGTCGCTGTGAATCGTGCTCGACTTGATGGCACCAGTTACAGGGAGAAGGCTGGTGCTGTGCCAGATACTGTAAGGTAACATCAAGATGATTACAACTCTTGGCAGCCCTGTGAACTACAGGTCACAAGGCTGTTTGAGGAGTTCAAGCACCAGCTCAGTGAACTAAATGAGCAGAAGGGGAGGAGTGACCAGTATTTCCAGTGGAGAGAAGGGCAAGGGTCCTAAAATTAAAGGATATTTTAGGTGTTTCCACAGTGAGAGGTGGGTGTGACAGAGGTGGTTAGGAAGAGAACAGCCCAGATGAGCCCAGAGAGGTGTCACAGGCCCAAGTCCTTGCAGTTACCAGACCTACAGGTAAACTGGGCTATGATTTTTGAGATTTTGAACAGAGAGATGATATCTTGTAGCACAAAGGATCCGTTGGGTGCTGCCCTAGGAATGGAAGCAAGGAAACAGCTGAGGAGTGCTTGAGTCCGAGTGACAGCAGAGAAGGTCAAGGGAGAGATTTCAGGACAGCTCCGCCTTTTTCATCAGAGCACCCAAAAGGATGCAGTTAGCAAGAGCTGAGGAGGAGCGGGGTGTGGGCGGAACGAGGTTAGGGCTGTGGGTCTGGCAGCTGGACGCAGTGTCAGCGCATATGTGGAAGTTTCAGGCCTCTAAAGGGGCGCGAGTGGCTTTGTGGTAAGGACTTGTGCTGCTGACCTGAAGGCAGGTTGAGTCAACCAGTTGCTCTACGGGAGAAAGATGGGCAATCTCCTCGTGTGATTTACTGCCTCTGAAAACCCTTTGGAGGGTCAGCTGTGAGTCGATTCTGACTCAGTTGTACTTAACAATGGCAATAAGGTGATGAATTGCACCAAGAAACTGCTCACTCCTTAGAATGACCAGCCACAGGGTCGAATGGGAGTTCTAGGGCTTCGTGGCTAAAGAGTTGCACTGTCAATCCAAAGGCATGCAGTTCGAATCCCCTAGCTGCTCTGAGGGAAAGAGGCAAACTTCTCCCATGGGATTTACAGCCTCTGAAAACCTGCTTTGAGCCAGTTCCAACTTGACAGCAATGAGCGACAATTGTAGAGTCAAAAGAGCAACATTTGCCCAAGGATAAATCCCTGAATGAAGAGAGGAAGGAGTAAGACAGAAAGCTTAATGGAAATGAGAGTTAGAAGGAGGAAGTAGGGAACGTATCATTATGTAGTGGGTGTTATAATTGGGAAACAAAACACATGAGTGAAAATCAATGTTTTTCTCTCAAATCCCTCCAAAAACAAAAAAAGGGGCCCGTTGGATGCACAAGTCTGAAGTTAGAGAGGCAGACAGGCCAGCCGAAACCTTCCAAGCTTTGCACCCCTCAAAGCACCCCTCCTCTTGGGTGTTGGGAGCTACTGTGAAAACCAGACAGAATAGGAGTTCAGGAAGCAGGTGGTAGAGTGGGGATGGGAAGCCGCCTAGCTGTTGCTAACCCACAGCCTTCTCAGCCGGCGGAAAGGCCATGCGTCTGAACACAAGGACCAGCTGTCTCGGCTGAAGGACAAGGACCCTGAGTTCTACAAATTCCTGCAAGAGAACGACCAGAGCCTGCTGAACTTCAGCGCGTCAGACACTTCTGAGGATGAAGAAGAGCAGTTCCATTCCCTGCCCGACACGCTCGAGGTGAGGGCGCTGGGCAGAGCTGAGCTTGGGGCTCACCTGTGCCCTCTACATCCTGCCTCAGCTTGGCCCTTCTGTGTCCCTACAGGAAGCAAGTGACGAGGAGGATGAAGTGGAGGCTGGGGACAAAACCCCCAAGGGTCTGCCGGGGAGAAAGAAGGATTCAACCATTGTGACCCTTAGCATGGTTGAACAGTGGAAGCAGGCATCGAAGGTGAGATGTGGCCTGTGAACTGCTGCTTCTCCCTCCTCCTCAGAGATGCCAGGACCCTGCAGCTGCCTCCTTGAAAAGACGCCTCCCTGAGGCGTGAGATGGTGACAGCATTCCTGGGTGCCAGGCAGCCGGGGGACTGCATCCTCCTTGACCGGCACCATCCCCTCCAAGATTGTTTTGCCCCTCTTGTCTCCGATCCCTGCTGTGTAAGGTTTACTGAGTGGGGCTTCATCTCTGTTCTTTATTGGTCTGGGGGATGAAGGACCTTTTGAGGGGTTCTCTGCAGGGAAGATGGTGGAAAGAGTGAGCCTCCTAGACCACTTGGGAGCTGGCCTCTGAGGCCTGGCCCTCTTGGAGGGTTCTGGACACCAGCTCAGCCACCCCAGCCTCGGAGCTAACCTCTGCTCCTGCATCTGTCAGTGTGCTGGGCCAAGCCCCTGGGAGCCCTGCTCCACAACCTGGTCTTCTCTCCAGCAGCACCTCACGGCAAAGCTGTTCCACGAGGTTGTGCAGGCTTTCCGAGCAGCTGTGGCCACCACCCAGGGAGACCAGGACAGCGCCGAGGACTGCAGGTTCCAGGTTACAGACAGTGCCGGTAAGTCAGGCAGGGGACTTGCGACCCAGGCTCTCCACGTGTGTCCTCTGTCCTGAGAGCAGGCCTCAGTGGCATTTGTCATCTCCTGTGCTCCCCGACCTCCCTGCAGTGTTCAACGCCTTGGTCACCTTCTGCGTCAGAGACCTGCTCGGCTGTCTCCAGAAGCTGCTGTTCAGCAGGGCCCCAAAGGGCAACACCAGGTGAGGGGCTTGGTGATTTCTCTGGACATGGCTGGGTTGAGATGGTGAGAACAGCCAGGTGCTTTGGACCTCCAGAAAGGCTGGGTTTCAGGACCAGCAGTGGGTGGAACCTTCCCTCTTTCTGAGACAGTCTCAGCCTGAGGTTTCTTAGGGTGATGGGGGTGGTACATGTCCCTGCCTTTGGTGTTTGCACCTTGTTTCCCCGTGGAGTCCCCAGGCTGCTGCCTGGCCAGATGTGAGGGGAGTTACAGACATGAGAGGGTCCAAAGAAGTTGAAGAGAGATTGTAGATGCAGGGGTTACAGACATGTGATGTTATAGATGAGAATAATGTACATGCTTTGGGGGGGTGTCTCTGCAGGGCGGCACCACCATCCAGTAGCCCACTGTGGGGGAAGCTCCGTCTGGATGTCAAGACCTACCTGAACTCGGTCACACAGGTGCGCTTGTGGTGAGGTGTGGGGCTGGGTGGGGAGGTTGGCTCTGAGCCTCACGGTCCCTTGCTGCCCCCCCAGTTGGCGAGCTGCCTGACGGAGACCACCGTGGCCGCGGCCGTCCTCCAGCACATCAGCAATGCGGTGCCCTACTACCTCACGTTCCCTCAGCAGTGCCGGGCGCTGCTCAAGGTAGGCTGATCCTGGCCATCCGTCCTGCCCCACAAAGGGCATCTCGGCACAGGTAGCTTCTAGCCTTTCTGAGGCTCAGTTTTTTCTGTTGTGACGTGACATTGACATGCACGTGAAAGAACAAGGGTACAGATACGCCGGCCCTGCTCTCGTTGGGGGGTGGGCTCTGTCTGGAGTTCCTCTGCTGACTGCTTTGCTTTAGAAGGTACTTTGCTCAGAAATGCTCAATGGCACTGCTGACCCTGAGTAAGGGTTCTGAGGTACCTGACAGGGACCGAGGCTGGGGAACACCCCCCCCCCTGCCCCCAGGTGGGGAGGAGCCTGTATAAGCGGTGACACACGGACTCTGCCTTCCACAGAGGATGGTGGTCTTGTGGGGCACCGGCGAGGAGACCTTGCGGGTACTGGCCTTCCTGGTCCTCATCAGAGTCTGCCGGCACAAGAAGGACACCTTCCTGGGTCCCATCCTCAAGGTAGCACAGCCTGGCCAGCAGGGGAGGGCTCTCCCAGGCTGATTGAGGGTGGCGGGTCTCCTTTGTGGGTGACACCCTCACCAGGTCCTGGTCCCCTGCACCATGGCCTCCTGGTGCCCTGGCCATGCAGAATGAAGGGGCCAGAGGGAAACATGCCAGCCAGGAGCCCAGCCACTCAGGACCAGCCCTGATCACCTTCTCCCGCAGCAAATGTACATCACGTATGTGAAGAACTGCAAGTTCACGTCCCCCGGCGTCCTCCCCACCATCATCTTCATGCAGCGCACCCTGACAGAGGTGCTGGCTCTGGACTCCGAAACGGCCTACCAGCACGCCTTCCTCTACATCCGTCAGCTCGCCGTCCACCTGCGCAGTGCCATGGCCATGCGGAAGAAGGTGCGGGCGAGGGGAGCGGACCGTGGGTGCACCCAGGGGCGTGACCCTGGGTGGGGGCGTGTAGAGTGGCCCCTTGTGGCCCTGCCTGCCCAGAGCTGGGCCACCTCTACTAGCCAGTCTCGTATCCTCCCTGTGCCCAGGAGACGTACCAGTCTGTGTACAACTGGCAGTATGTGCATTGCCTCCACCTGTGGTGCCGCGTCCTGGGCACCCTCTGCCCCAACGGCGCTCTGGAGCCCTTGATCTATCCCCTCACACAGATCATCATCGGCTGCATCAAGTGAGTCTGCACTAGGCCCTGGGCTGATGTCTAAGTTCTCTTGGTGTCAGGGGTCATAAGGAGTGTCCTGGAGTTGGGGGGAGTCAGGGTTCACACAGTATCACACAGAGGTCGGAGCGCAGGATTTCAAGCCTCTAACAGTTGATGGTCAGAATTACACAGGACTTCTGGAAAGGACAGGATGAATGAGTTCCCCAGAGGGGTTGGGTTGTATATTTCAGCAGCCCCTGGGGGAGGTTGGGGGCACCCTCTCTAGTTCACATGGGTCTGTTGTAAGAGGACTAATGTCCTCGTGAGCCCCCACTCCTGCCATGCCCTGTATGCCAGCTGTCCTCAGTGGCCCTCACCCTGTAAATGAGTGTATTCTGGGGACTTGACCCCAGCACAGTGAGCCAACCTGCATCCGAACCGCATGCAGAACATGCACAAAGCCCTCTCGGTTGTTGGCCCAAGTTGGACATAAATGGTTATGTGTCTACTGCCAGAGAATATGTGGCAGGTGCTTCTGGGTACTTCTTGACTAAGAAAGGGCACCTGTGTCCCCTGAAGAGGAAGTGTGTGTCTCCTAGTGGGAATTGGGGCAGGTGGGCCTTGGAAAACCCTGGGAGCCAAGCCAAGGCAGGGAAGGGGGAAACCTAACATTGTTCCTTTGTTAAAAATGAACCTGGGGTGAGGAGGGAGGGAGGTGGTTAATTATAGGGTGGCACTATTTGAGGGGTGGAAGGAGGGGTGGGTAAAGGAGATGAGAAAGATCTGGTGTGAAAAACAATGCTTATGAACTTTGTAAGCAAACCAGTAGAAAATAAAAATTTTATTTAAAAATAAAATGAAGGGGAGCTCTGGTGGCCTAGTGGTAAGGAGCTGCAACTACAATCCCAGAGGTGCACGGTTCCAATCCACCAGATGCTCTGCCGGGGAAGGAGGGACAATCTCCTTCTGTACCAGTCAGATCTGATTTGACGGTACACTCACACAAAAATTAAAAAAAAAAAAAAAATTAAATAAAATGAGCCTGAGGTGGAAGCTGGGTGAGGGCCCCCAGTGACTGAGGAGATAGTCAGAACCCTTGTCCTGCCCTGGGTGGGTGTGGCTAGAGGAACCTGGTAGCCCTGGGCACGCGAGCCTGCCCCTTGGGGCTCTGGACCTCTCTCACCCCCTCCCTCTTGCCCCAGGCTGGTCCCCACTGCGCGCTTCTACCCTCTGCGCCTGCATTGCATCCGCGCCCTGACGCTGCTGTCCGAGAGCACTGGCACCTTCATCCCCGTGCTGCCCTTCATCCTCGAGGTGAGTGGACCAGGAGGGGTGCACCTCTAGTCTGTTCTGCCCCCCAGCTCAGGCTGGGAGATTCTGGACTCGACAAGCCCTGCGTCCTGCAGTCCTCTCCTAAGTACAGGAAGTGGCCCTGCAGACTTCCAGTTTCTTGAGAACCTTGCCTGGTCAGTGCCTGTCTGCCCCAGCCCAAGCTGACCATGGGGCATGAGAAACAGGCCTTGGCTCTCTGAGCCCCAGGGTATCACTCAAAGGTCAGGGCTGGCCAGGGCCATAGTATCTGCCGGCGGTCAGAGTTCGTGGAGCTTGGACACAGTCCCAGGCCTCAGAGGCTAGAGCTGCCTTAACCCCTGTGTGCAACCCTGCCCGGCACCACCAGCACACATGTGCACCTATGTCAGTGTGTGGTACGTGCAGGTGGACGTGTGTCTGCCTGTGTCCAGCCTCCTGCTGTGCACGCACACGTGTGACATGTGTTTACTTTTCCTTGTCATGCCTAGAGCGGGTCAGAACCCAGAAGTCCAGGCTTGAGGCTTGGCCAGCAGATGTTCAGGAATCAGTATTGCCCTTCTTGGGGGAGAAGCCTCAGTGGTTGGTGCACACCCCCTGGGAGGCCAGGCCAAGGGCTGAGATTTGCTGTCCTGGTGCTGCAAAGTTGAGAGAGGGGAAGGAAAGCTGGACTGTGTTGTGCTGACTCCTTCGAAGGGAACCTCTTAGGGTCACTGAAACCCTTGGGAACCTGCGTTCTTTTCCGTGGCAGCTATAGGAATCTCTGACTCCTGGCCTGTACCCCTTGGCTCAGCACCCCCATCCAGGCCCCTAGCCCCCACCCTGTGTACTGGTCTGTGCCATTCTGTGGTCTTGGTGCTTGCCTCCGCTTGTGCACCTCTGCCTGCTGTCTCCCTGGGTCCTTTTCCTCTCCCTTCTCTATGTCTCTCCTCTGAGCAGCGCAGGTGCTAATGGGGAGCTGGACCCTCTGCCTAGGTTTGAAGCAGCCACACCTTGCATAGGCTTCTCTCCTCCTGAGAAGAGCCAGGTAGTGAGGACAGTTCTATCTTCAGAGCTTCCCGCCCTTCCCCTGCTGGCAGGGGACAGTCAGGCCCCACCCCTCAGCGGCCAGCTGGTAAAAGGGCAGCACTTGCCAGGTTTATTGTGCATTGTCACAGGGCTGCTGTCTTGAGTGTAGAGGGCACAGCCACCATATGTCCTCCTCCACCCCAAGGGTCCTTCCCTCTCAAAATGTCCCCCCACAGGGTTTGGGTCTCCTGGTGCCCCCCAATCCCTGGGCAGCCTAGGCCTCTGGGTCTTGGGGAGGCTGGTGCTGAGGGGCCACTCAGGGCCTGGTTGCGCCTGCCCAGTGTGAGCCCAGCCACCAGCGTTCCCTCTGCTGCCTCTCCTGACCTTGCTTGTCTCTGTTGTGTGTCGCTGGGCCTGCAGCCACCAGCACCACCAGCATGAGGGTTCATCGCCGAGCAGTATGTGTCAGGAGCCCTGCACAGTTGCAGCCCTGAGCCTTTTCTAGTTTGTAGAGATCTCTGTGCCTCCCAGCTCTGTCGGAGGAAGGTTCTGCATCTGTGGGCCGCCTGTGTGTCCCCCGTCATGCTCATCGTCAGGCAGCTGAACACCACGCTGGGCTCTGGGAGGTCTGGGGGCCTGGCCTCGTGTAAGGACGCAGGGCGTGCGGGCACAGCCCTCAGTGATGGCCGGAGATAGCCCTCTGACAAGGCAGTAGCAAGGGCTTTGTGGACTGTGCCCTCGGACAGTGGGCACCAAGGACGGATGGCAGGGCTCTGAGACCCTTTGCTTGTCAGGTTTTCCAGCAGGTCAACTTCAACAAGAAGCCAGGACGCATGAGCCCCAAGCCCATAAACTTCGCCGTGATCCTGAAGCTGTCCAACGTCAATTTGCAGGAGAAGGCGTACCTGGTAAGGCGTGGGACTGCCTCCCCCATCCTGATGCCACTGACCTGGCCTGCCTCCTGACCCCTCCCTCCTGCCCTGATGTGCCACTGTGCCCTGATGTCTTCCTCTGTCCTATTGCTCACCCCAACCTGACCCTGTCTCATGAGCCCCCCTGTTCCTCACTGTCCTGACGTGCACTTGCCCCTAGGACGGTCTGCTGGAACAGCTGTGTGACCTCTCCCTGGAGTACCTGCAGGGCCAGGCCCACAGTGTCGCTTTCCCAGAGCTGGTGCTGCCCGCTGTCCTGCAGGTCTGTGCCCCTCCCCCACCCCACTGTAGCTCAGCAGTTCCACCGGGTGGGAGTGTGGGGTCCCAGCGAGTGGTGGGCTCAGTGTGTGGTGGGTTGTATGTCTTCCTCAGAACATTGGGGATTGAGGAGAGGCTGATGGGATCCTGAAGATGCCACAGGCACTAGAGCGTCTGTGAAGTCTCCTGAGGAGGGGTCCTGGCTCCGGGTCAGGGTTGTCCCCACCCAGTTCAGGACCCCCGTGGCTCTGGGTACAATGAGGGGTGGGGCACAAAGTAAGACACCTCTGCTCAGACCAAGGGCCAGACAAGATTCTCCTTTCCTACGGAGCCATTCTCAGCTCCCCCATCCCGCCTTCCTCATGAGAATCTGTTTGCTCAGCTCATATCCCAGGGAGGCCCATGTTGCGTCTGGGCTACAAGAGTTAGTCCTAAGACTCACAGCGTCTTTGGTGGGGAAGCGAGGGGCAGCTGTACATCCAAACTGTACATGCAGCTCAGAGGCCCACTCAGACCAGGCGTGCACGCATGAGCAAGCCCTCGGTACCCCCGTAGCCACTTATGTACGTACACACTTAATGTAGTCACGTTACTGTACATACACTACAAAGTCATTTCTATACATCGTCACATATGTGTGTAGATCATAGGCATGTAATATACGTGAACATGTGTTTATAAACGTGTGTGTGTGGCTGACAGCCACCACCTTGGGATCCTTTTGGCCAGTGACTGCAGGAAGTCAGATAACTCCATTTCTGGGCTTGCAGTCTCAAGGAGCCACGAGCAAGCCAAGTCCGCATATTTTGGTAAAATCATAAAATTATTGTGGTCCTGTTGGCTGTGCGCCGTGGGGTTGCTCAGCTTCTGCCACAGCACCTCCAGAGACACATGAGAGTAAACCCGGTCGGTGTACAGACAGGCCTGGTCCGGTCCACAGGGTGGCCTGTCCCCGGCCCCTAAGAAGGACCCGTACCACATGTGCTTCCCTGCCTGCAGCAGCCCGACATGCACAATGCATGCGCACACACTCACTCCCTGGGACAGGATCTGCCTCCCACTTCCGCGGGTGCCTCCCAGGGAGTTGTGGGTCACAACAGCAGACACCAACCTGGGCCTGATACCTTTCCCTCTGCAGCTGAAGTCCTTCCTGCGGGAGTGCAAGGTGGCCAACTACTGCCGGCAGGTGCGCCAGCTGCTCGAGAAGATGCAGGAGAACGCGGAGTATGTGCGTGGCCGGCGCCAGGCCGTCTCTTTCGGAGTGTCCGACCGGCAGGCTGTGGTCAGTACACAGACAGGCGGGGTGTGTGAGTGAGCCCAGGCTCCTTGGCTTGATTGATTGTGGCTTTCCTCACCGTTCCCCTATCTCTCAGGATGCCTGGGAGAAGCAGACACGAGTGGAGGGGACCCCACTCATCAAGTACTACGGCCACTGGAGGAAGCTGCGGGACCGGGAGCTCCAGCTGGAGATCAGCGGCAAAGAACGGGTGTGCAGGGTTCAGGGAGCAGGGGGGACCTTGGGGATGGCCACTGACCAACACAGGACAGAGATCCCCTGCTGCTGCCATCCCGGTGCATGTGGCTGGGTGATGCAGCATAGGCTGACCATGGAGTCTGAAGGGCTGCATGGCCCAGAACTGGACAGGGTGGTCTCCACCAGCCAGTGCCCTCTCCTCAAGGCTGCAGGCAGGAGGTTAATGAGATGGGCTCTGTCATACCACCCTGAGCCTGTAGAGCATGGCTTCCTGGGAGTGGCTTGCCCATTTGCCGCTCCCTGTGTGAGCAGGACAGGTGTGGGCATGGGGAGCTGGGGACATCTGACTGGGCCTCTACTGAGTTAAAGCACCATGTTCTTGAGGCAGACGTGATCGTGACATGTGTACTGAATACTGAGTGTGCCCAGGGGTCCTTTCACCCACCTGGAGTGGGAAGCTTGAGTGGAAGTCAGCTAGGAAAATGACTGGTGCCTCTCTAAGACCCGGACCTGTGGTGGGGGACTTTGGGGTTCCATAAAGGGGGAGTGGGTGAGCAGAAGGTTGCTGCAGTCAGACTAGACTCCTGCATGATGTTTGTTTCTTGAGCTGCTCCTGTCCACGGATCTCCTTGAGGGACAGCAAGTCGGCGGGGGTGGGGGTGTCAAGTGTCAAGACTGGCAGCTGGTCCCCTACCTCTGTAACATCCTGCTGTGGTCCTGGTCCTTCCACAGCTGGAAGACCTGAACTTTCCAGAAATAAAGCGGCGGAAAACAGAGAGCAAGAAGGAGGAGGACAAGAAGGAGTTCAAGGACCTCTTTGACCTGGAAAGCGATGACGAGGACAGCACCTCTGGCCTCTCAAGGACAGGTATTAGGCCAGTGGTACTTGACTGCCCCCACCGTCTTTGAAAGGCAGCAGCCATAGGCCACGGGTGAGGGAGTGGGTGAAGCTGTGATCCCTAGCTCTTGGCTACATCACTGGCTACTCCTCCTTGCTGGCCTTTTTTCTTTCTTTGAAGTGGGGGGAGGGGGGGTGTCTCAGTTATAAAATCCCACTCTGGCCCGATACTTGCTGCCTTCTGCCAGGCCAATTCTGTGTCCTCCCACCTGCACCAAGGGAGGCCAGACTGGGGTCAGACTCCCTCAGTCTCCACTGAGTAGGCCTGTGGTCACTCTGGCCCTTCTCTTTACTGCCTAGGGGCACCAAGGTCCCTAAGTGGCCAGCAGGCAGCAGAGGAGGAAGAGGAGGAGGAAGAGGACAGCGATGGCAGTGAGGAGGAAGTCAGTGACTCCGAGGGTGAGTATGCTCTGTGCTCTGGCTAGTGGAGCCTGGGCTGGGGCAGGGGGAAGGCTGTCCAAGGGCAGGCCCACCTCACCTCCTCACGTCCCAGGAGGCCAGGCCAGCTGCTCTGGCAGCCAGCCCAGTGGCTCTGATAAATTAATTAGTGCCGTGATTAATTAGTGATGAGTAACCTCCGGGCTGGCTTCTCCTAATGGAGCAGGATTTATGTGGCCCCTCTCCCTGCAGATGGCGGCACAGACGCAGAGGCGGGGCTGAGCCCAGAGGAGCTGCAGCGCTTGGCCCAGGGGCCAGATGATGAGCTGGAGGACCTGCAGCTCTCAGAGGAGGACTGAGGCCACCTCAACCAGTGACTGCAGACAGGACTTTATTTTTACAACGTGAAAAGACCAAACGTACCAAAAGCTAGGCTGCCCCCTCGGGTAGCAGCCCTGGGTTGTGAACATGACGGAGCTGGCCCCCCCGTGGCCCCTAATCCTCTGGAAGGAAGCTGCCCCTCCTGATTGAAGAATGCACAAGGCCCCAGAGCAGACCAAGCCCCACTTCTAGGAGTGCTGGGGCCTGGCGGAGTCTACATGAACCATAGTGGCCTCTGAGTCTCCTGTCTTTGGCTTGTCTGCTGTTGCCAGGGTATGGGGACACCAGGCCCCTGGGAGCCCAGGCACAGGCTGGCTGCTCCACTCTGCAGCACTCTTTAGTGTCTTTGGGACTTGTTCCTTTTTCTTTTTCAAGTCACATGTTTTCTTACTGTTAAAATGTCTGGTTCTTCGCATCCAAATCCAAAAGGAAAAAGGTGGTGGGGAGAGAGGGAATGATGTTGCAACAGTTTCTCACTTGAGGGGGTCTGGGCACCCTGGCTCAGCACAGGGGCTGGGAGGGGTCTGTGGCGGCTCCAGGAAGCAGAGTGGCAGTCCCATTCTCCTGCTGGGGTGAGGCTTGGCCGTAGGGAGAAGTGGCAGTCTCTGGAGATGGGGACTGCTCCCCGGCTGTGAGCTCTCGGTCTGGGGCCCGAAGGGATGGTGGCTGCAGTGGCAGAGCCACGGGAAAGCTGGCCATGTAGAACACTCGGCCAAGGCGCCTGGCCACCTGTGGAGTCAGGCCTGGGTGGGTGTGGCTCACCCCTTAAGGCTATCCCCCCTCTTGGGCTACCCCACCCCTTGTGCCCACCCATCAAGGCTGCCTCCCAACCCCAGCGCCCACCTGGGCCCGGATCTTGAGTGCAGGGCCCAGCTTCAGCCCCATGGTGGTCAGCAGGTGCTCCTCTGTTAGTAGGGGTAGGGTTTCCCCATCAATCCCCTGTTCTCTGAAGACCTGGAAAGTAGGGGTGTCAGGATCTGACAACAGAGAATAGCACCTGCCTGCCCCCTCCCCTAGATCCTTCTGTAATCCTTCCAGCCCAACCAAGGGCCATGGCCCAAGGGTTTCTGAGAAAGGATGGAGCTGTTTGTATAACCTGGCAGAAAAAGAAAATAAAGGGGCCCATCTGCCAGGGGTGGTCTAACTTTGCCAAAGGGGCACCTGCCACACCCAGCCCCCTCACCGGTGCATACTCCCCACAGCCAGACAGGCCCCCCACAAAACTGCACACGTCATCCACTGTCCACTTGCTGACATCTTCGGGGGCTGTGGCCTCCTCCCTGTCTGTGAAGAGGCCCCCTGTAGTGCCTAGGAGGAGAAGCAGGGTTCAGGTCCCACTCCTTCCCTTGCACCCCCACCTCCTTACTAGTCCTGCTTGTTCAAAGATGGATGATTGGAAGGGGTTTAGCCCGTGAAGCCCTCCTCCCTGAGACTGGGATGCCTAAGTTGGGTCTCCTTCCCCCCACGGAGTAAAAAGCCCACCTGTGTGGAAATAGGGGCTGACGGTGTAGGGGAGGCCGAGGGGCAGCGCAGGAGGCAGCGTGGGCCCTGAGAGCAGCCCCTTCCCTTCAGTGCTGGCCCCTCCACCAGAGCCTTGGCCTGGGGTGGCACCCTGAGCCCCTGGAGTGACAGCCTCAGCATCTTCTCCGTCAGAGTCCTTGGGGGGTTCATCCTCCGAGCCATCCTGCGCCCAGATGCCAGCGGCACCCGAGGTCTCCTTTGACTCAGGCCGGACTGGAGATGGGCCTGGGCCTCCTTTCCGGGCAGCACGGCGAGCAGGCTCCCGGGGAGGGGTAGGAGGGCCCTGAGGGGGCAGCGCCAGCAGCGGCGCCGAGCTGTGTCTCAGCACCAGCATGGCCCCGCGCCGCTGCAGCTCCTCGGCGGCGCCGTCGGGCGGGCGCAGGGAGGGCTCGGGCGCCAGCAGCTGCGGGCGGTGCGCGCTCTCCAGTTCCTTCTGGCGAAGCAGCTCCGCCGACATCTCCAGCCTAGGCCGGGAGGGCGGGGGTCAGCGACGGGGCCGCGCCACCCCTCTCCCCCGAGGCAGCTGCACCTACCGGGCCAGGTTCTGCTTCCGCAGCAGCTCCTGCTGCCGGGCGAACATCTCCGCCTGGGCGGGAGGCAAGAAGCCGTATCCTGGGGCCAGGGGGACAAGCAAACCAGAGCAGATGGGTCAGTGATCCAGGCCTCCAACCCCAGCCCGGTCTATTCTCAACTTAGTGCACCTGGGTCACCCACTCAGTGCTCCCAATACACATCCATACACTTAAATGCCCGGCTTGCATCCGCCTACTCCTCACCTGGGGTCTGGCACAAAGCAGAGGGCACCCCCAGGAAAGGGGGCCTGAGGTGGGGGCCCAGGGCGATATGCGGGGCATTCTGGGGCGACAGCAAGGGGGGCGGCTGCGACAGCTCCCTGTGTACAGCAAAGTGGTGAGCGACGCGACCCCAAGCCCCCCTCCCGGCGTGCTCCCAATTCCCAGAACCGCGCCCCCCCAGCCGCCTCCGCTAATTGCTGGCCGACCGGGCGGTCGATGCGCCGCTCGTTACCGCTCTGGGTCGCGTCCGCCCCCGCCGGCGGCGCCAATTAATCTCGGGCGGCGGCGCGGAGGCGCTGACCCGGCGGGCGGCGGGCGAGACTGCAGCGGTAATTACCGCGCGGGGCGCGCCGGGGGAGCCCTCGCCGCCCCCTCCTCCCCCATCTCCCCCGCCCTCTTCCCACCTCCCCGCCCCCCTCCCCTGCGGACCCCGCGGGGCCAGGCGCGGCTTAATTAGCCGCAGTCCGGGAGGCGGCGGAGGCAGCTGCAGACGCGCCGCTGGGCGGAAGGGAGTTGGCGGGAGGGAGATGTTGGAGGGCAGGGGCGGTGTCCCCGCTCTTTGGGCACCTCCGCAGTTGGGCGGGCGACCGTTGAGAGCCAATGAAGCTCATCCCGCCCTCTTCCTGGAGTGCCTGCCGACCCCCTGAGGTGTCCCTGCACCAACAGCTTCGCTTCTCCAGACTGGGTCTTATTTTGAGGTCTACAGATTTCACTCACCCCTCTATCCCAGCCCCCTCACCCCCCACGGGGAATTTTAACCTTTGGTTATACTAGGGCACCTGTCGGTGGTCTCCCAGTTTCCTTGAACATAGTTACTCACACCTTTGCACCTTCTCTCTCCAAAAAGTTCCTGGCCTCCCTCTTGGCTCAACAGAAGCTTTTAACATAATAGGCCTTGAACTCCCAAACCCCATGTCCAGGGGCATCCAACCAAAATAGCCCCATGGTGGGCGAAGGCATGACAGCTAGTTGGTAAAAATGTCCAAGAAAGTACAGAGGACTCTGGCTTTTGGACATGACAAGCCACCCCACTGGCCATTGCACCCCAGGAGCAGCCGGAGAATGTGGGAGCTTCTCCTGGTTTACTTCCCCCACAAAATACAGCCCCTGCCTTACTCAGTACCTCTCAGGGAAGGATGGCGTAGCTGTCGGGGTGATGCCCTCCCGGTGCTGGGCCAGGCCCTGCTTCCGACGCTGACCTGCTGTGGAGGAGGGGAGATGGACTTCCAGGCCGCTAGGGCTCCGCACTGCAGCAGCCGCTACCTCCTGCCGGACCCTCAGAAGATCTAGGGGTGGGTGATCAGAAATAACCCAGAGTCCAGATTCCCCCTGGACTCTTCACACAACCTTCAAACCCGGATGACTGTAAAACATTCACTCACCTAGCTACTACAGCACCGCGCTAGGAACCAGTAAAGCGGCTCTTCGAATCAGTCCCCCAGACTGACTTTACCTTGGGCCATGCTGTCATAACTGACCCTCGACTGGTTGGTCCCCGACACAGGAATATGAGTAGCCCATGGATAAGGGCAGGAATGACAAATTCCTATAGTGCCCTAAGTACTAGAAGATGCTAAGGGTGGGGAAGAGTCAGGTGACCTTCCAGAAAGGGTAGAGGAATGTCACTAAACACCATGAGGGACAGAAAGGGAACCCCACGCAGGGGAGCCAGGTGTGTAAAAGGGTTACAGACTGGATACTTACTGGGAGGGGTTTGCATGTTACAGAGTGAGCATGCGCATACTGCACTCCCTTGAGGGGTGGGGCAGAGGCGGAGGCTCAGCCTTGTAAGGTGGGGCCAAGAGGTTGAGGGTGCAGGCGGAGGCCAAGGGGCAGGAGGGCAGCTTGACAAGAATTTTAAGAATTGGAGTGGACAGACTTTGCTGGGCCTCCACACTGCGCTGCCCCTCAGGAGAAGTCTGGTAGGAGGGCTGGCAGGGAAGTTCCAAAGATCTCCCATGCAGAGAGCTCGCAGGGACAAAGGTTTGAGGCTGCGCACGTGCTCACCGTGCACGGACAGAACACAGGGGACACGTGGCACACATAACACAGAGAATGCACATGCTGTTGCGTGTCTACATGGAGGCACATGGCACTTAGGCACACAGCCGCAAAGGCACACGTGTGCATACATAGATACATGGCACGCCTGGGCATACAGCACGCACCGTACATCTGAAACACTGCTGGCCACTTGAGTCTCCAGCCTGCTCAGGGCTGCCCCTGAGTCCCACCCCCACCCCCACTAGCGCAGGCTCCGCCGCCGCCACCGCTGCTGTTTATAAATTAATTACCCGAAAAGCGGAGGCCGGTCCTGCCCCAGGCCGGATGCCAGCCTGCAGAGCCGAGCCGGCGCGGCCGCCCGCATCGATCCCAGCGGTGCCTCCACCGCCCCCGCGCCACGGCCGCGGTTATTTACAGTCGGCTCCACAGCGGGGGTGGCGGCTCCGCGGCGGGGACCGTGATTGACAGCCAGCTCCCCGGGCGCGAGGCCCGCACCCCTCCCCCTCGCCGGCCAGCCGCGGCCCCAGGCAGGGCAGGGAAAGCAATTAAAAAGGAAGATTTTTAAATTATTAACATTTGGTGAATTATTCAGGCTCTCGGTGCCTGAGCTGCCCTGGGGGACAGTGCCTTGTGTGCGAAGAGGAAACCCTGCCCCCTTTTCTGGGCGCGCCCCCTTCCACCAGAAAAGCCAGGGCTCCCCTGCTGAGTTGGAGGGTGAGGCTGGACAGACTACAGGGTTGGGGGGCTGGAGAAAGGCAGAGAAGTGGCTCTGGTGGCCTCTGCTGCTGAGACCTCCACCATCTTTCTGGCTTCAGTCACCTGCACCCATCCTGGACACCCCTGCCCGTGGATGGTCACCCAGGAGCCCCTACCTGGCCCCACAACAGGGCTATTGTCTTTTTTCAGTCAGAGGGAGAAGGACAAGGTGTACAAATTGAGAAGACCTGTGTCCACCAGGCAGCAAGTGGGCCTGGGACTTGGTTTTGTCATCCATTCTCAGGGATATGTGGGGTGTAGGTGGGCCATCGGCAGGGATCTGTCCACAGCTGACCTGCCTTCAAGTTCACTGCCTGGGCTGGCGTTCAGTCGGGTTTCTGAGTGGCAGCCATGTGGCCACTTACCGTGGGTGGGCAAGCCCAAGTGGTAGAGCCGCTGAGGGTCCTCAAAGGTGCCTGCCTCACTCAGGGCAGACACGAGGCGGCGGTAGTGTTCCTCGGGCGCCATGCTTGACCCAAGCTCTGGCAACAGCAGAGTCTCTGGTTGGGGAGCACAAGAGAAGGGGGCTTCTCCTTCAGACCAGGCTTAAGGCCCTGCCCTGTGTTAGCCCCCTCCCCTAAGGCCCTGCCTTGTGTTAGCCCCCTCCCCTACCACAAAGTCTCAGCAGGGTTCAGGGCCCCCTTCCCCCCTCCAGTGATACCCAGCCCTCATCTTATCAGGATCCCACCTGAGGGCGACTCGCTTCGAGCCTTCTTCTCCGAAGGGCAGTCAATGCTGATGTGGGGAGAGGACCCCAGCCTCTTGCCCAGCAGGTCACCTGTAGAAGGAGTGTCTCAGGAATGAGTGGCATCAGGGAGTCTCCCAGCCTCTGCCCCCCTCCCACCCTCCCACACCTCTATCTTTATGTTGGTTCTGTTGAGCCAAGTCCAAGTGCAACCCAGAGTGTCAGTGACCAAAGACATCACAGAGGGGAGGAGAGGAGTGTGCGTGTGTAAGATGTGAGATAAGGGGTCTGGGAGCAGCTCAGGACCTGCCCGGCCTCCTGCTGTCCTAAGAGCCGGACCAGATTCACTATAACACAGACTTTTGGCACTGTTGCAGAAGAGTGAAATGCTTTTGATTTGGCAAAGACAAGGGCGGGCAGGTGATTCAGGGTCCTGTGCCAGACTGGGGGTGGGGTGGAGAGAGTGTGTTGGGAAAGTCAGGAGCCTGTGTTCCTGGGCTGGGCAGTACCTTTGTCCACTTGCCCACCAGGCTCTGAGTCCTGGAGGGTCGGGCTGCCCCACTATGGCCATGCAGGGATGTTGACAGCCCAGCCAGCCAAATCCATCTCCCACACTAATGGGAGTCCCACAGACACCTGAAACCCACATCCACAGCCTCCTGCATCCATCCATTCAGCCTGCCTGGGGGCCCAGGCCCTCCCTACATCAGAATCTGCCCACTGAGCAGCAGAGGGGGACCCACCCTGACACCCAGGTGAATGGGTTCCCAAGACCTGATCCCACCCCGGAAGCCCGGCCGTCAGCTCCAAAGCTTAATTCCTTTTTCTTATTCCCTTAATCTGTCATTTTTATCAGGCTGGGGAAGTGCGGCAGCGTCAGAGTGGCCGATCAATCTCCACATTACAGCTGACAGAATGGTGCTAATAACTTATTGATCTCGTGGCCACCTTGCTGCCACTGGTGGGGCAGTCTGGCCTCCAGCCCTGGGCCCAACCCTGCCCCAAAGCAACCAACAGACAGTAGCTGAGGGCTGGGCAAGATGAGCAGGAGGAGGGGTAAGGTAACTGGCAGCACTGGGAGGGGGGCACTGAGGAGGGGGGCGGTATGCCAGGTTCCAAGTCTCCTGCAGTGGGAGAAGCAGAGCTGCGGAAGTGCACAGCTGGGCCAGCACAGGCACACACCCACCCCTGAGTCGGGGAGGGGGCAGGACTATAAATAACCCAGAGGCTGCCCCAGGGCAGAAGGCTGTCTCCAACTTTCCAGGCTACTGGAAATCCCCTCCTCTTTCTGGGTGGGGTAAGAGTAGGGGCTCCCCTCTGCCTCTGGGAAGCCCAGAACTAGGGTAGGAGGGGACATGGGGGCTGAGGATCCACTAGTGGCTAAGAAGACTGTATTCACAGGACACACTGGGAACAGCTGGGACATCCCAGGGACAGCCCCAGACACACAGGAGAGTCCACAGAATCAGATGTAGACACAGACCTGCTTCCAGCCTCTGACTAGGAAGACGAGTTCAAGTCCAAGTATGTCTGTATTTGGGGAGTAGCTGGGATTGAGGTTGCAAGGAGCAAGAACAGAAGACAGGCAAGCGGGATTATAGCCCTAGGTAGATGCACGTTTGTGTGCACACACGTGTGGCACATGCATGCATGGCACACTCAGGCAAAGCGGGCGGCACTGATATGCATCTGCATACCTTCACTCAGTTTAAATGTACTTGACACGGATGGCAGTGGGGGTGGGGTATGGTAGTGCACACACATCTGTATACTCACATGCTGTACATGTATGTATGTGCTGTACATGTGCACGCACACGCCTGCCTGTGTGCCTTGGGGACCTCGCATGCAGGCGGCTTCGGGGAGGCCCTTTGGGCTCAGAACATCTCAATCATGGCGGAGCCGCTCCGCCCAATCGATGGGGCAATTAGATTTTATCAGCCGCTTGGCTGCCTCATGCAGCCTGGCTCAAAGCAGCCCCTTCTTTGCAGGGCCGGCAGCTGGGTGCACTGAGGGAGCCTCTTGGCCAAGGATGCAGAGTGCAGGTCACCCACCTGTCCCCAGGGACTGGGCCGGTCACTAGGACTCCAGTCCTCTCCTTTTGCTTTCCAAGGTAAGGTGCCTCTTTAAGCACCTCTTGTAGGGCTGACCATTCTTTCAAGATCCTCCCAAAGGGACAAGATTTTTCCACTGAGCAGGCGGGGGTTCCCAGGACTGCAAGTGAGCTACTGTCAGCACACACTTGAGCTGTTCTGGCCATTTCTGGGCCCCTGTGAAGGCTGTGTAGTCTGGGTCTAGGGGCCTCCACTCTGAGGAGGACAGCAGTGGCCTTGGCAACTCCAAGCCCAGTCCCTGTCCCCCCACTCTACCCCAGCAGCAGCGGCAGCAGAGCCACAGCCCCGCCTCCTGTCTGCCTGGCCCGGATTAACACAATTACCATCACGCGGCGCCCCGGGGGACAGGCGGCCTCGCCACCTCCGCCTCGCTGGCCTCCTGGCTGCCAGCCAAGGCTGCTGAGGGTGGCGCGTCCAGGCTGCTGAGCACAGACTCTCCGATGGGGGGGGGGCTGTCCCCGTGGAGCCCGGCCTGCCCCCGCCCCTCGCCCTCACCTGCAGCGCCCAGGCCGAGCTCTGCACCGCCTCTCTGGAATTCGCAGCGGCTCTGGGGCTCGGGCATCACGAGGTGGCGGCTGCGGTGCACACTGGATATGAGGGTGGAGAGGTCACTGTCCTGGCTGCAGTAAAGCAAGAGGGACAGTGGGTAGGTGGCCAAGGAGGTCCAAGAGCCCAGTCAGGGCACAGTGAGGCCCATTCCTAGTGACACGAAACCCCTACTGCCACCCCAAGATGACACGGAAGGACAAGGTAGACCTGCTCCATAGGTTTCGAAGGCTGTAAATCTTGATGGAAGCAGACTACCTGATCTTTTTCTCCAGAGGAGTGGCTAGTGGACTTGAACCACCAACTTTTTGGTTAGTAGCCAAATGCTTTTAACCACAGCATCACCAGAGCTCCCCTGGACACACGCATGAGTGTGCAGGGCCTGCAGGTGCTGACACCATGCAGGGATGTGTGCACTCACAGAGCGGCACAAGGTGCACCCAGAGCCTCATCTCCCAGCAGGGGTACCGGCTGTTCTCAAGGCCAAGGCCTGGCTCTCAGACCAGTCCCGGTTCTGGGACAGTCTTGCCCAGAGAAGAACCACCACTCAATGAAGCACTAGGGACAGGGCTTAAATCATAGTAGTTAAAATTGCAGCCCTCTTCTAGAGTGATAACAATAGCCAATTTCTCCTGATAGGGGAAAGGTCTTCAGCCTCAAATCCTATGACTTGCTTACAGTACACACAGGAACAGACACAGAGTGGCACATACACACAAGGACAACACAGAGATGGATGCACATTTAGGTGAGAACACAAACATGCATGCAGGGACATAGGCACCCACATGCAGGAACACAGACACAAGTGGAGACATGAACACACACAGATGCCAGCATCATACCGTGTGCATATAAGTGCATGAATACACATGCAGGCCAGGGACACATAACAGCCCACACATGAAGACATCCACCCACATAAGGATACATGTGCGTGGGGACACATGCACAGAGGAACACACATGTACACCTGGGGACACAGATGCATGCATGCATGCATAGGAGAACAGATATTCGCACGTGCATTGATGCACACAGATGAGGACTCAGGTTTGCCTGGGCCTAAGTATTAGCAAGCCGGGCTTGTGTGAACTTGGAACAAATACATGTTTAACTCTGGGGTTCCCTATCTTTTCTGCTTCCTGACAAACCAGCTCAATCCCACACTCACAGACCCCCAGCAAAAAGAAGATGAGAAGAACCCCTCACCCCCACCCCATGACTGCACAAGTGTAGAAAGTCTGCCTGCTGCTCAGACACAGCTGGGTCCCCACCCTTCACGTGCTGTGCCCCCCACGCTGCCTGCCCGGCCCACCTGTGAGGGAGCAGCCTCCCGGCTAGGAGCTTCCACGAGTGACCAGGGAACCCTGACCCTAAACCCCATTAAATAGCCTCCCCAGCCTGGGCCACTGGCCGGGGCTAATCCGCCTGGCTACTAATCAGATCCGTTTCAGCGCCAAAGGCCGGCCTGGAGCCGGCTTGGAGCCTTCTGGGAGGCCCAGATGCAGGTCCCTCAAACCAACCCCCCCCTCCATGCAAACAGGAGGGCAGGTGGGGCCGGGTAAGTACTTTATGCGATTAATTGGCAGCGAATCTCATCCCCTCCATCATCCTCATCAATGCGGGGGACAAGAGGGGGGGTGTCAGAGTAAGAACTGCTGTTCTCAGCACTGAGGAGGGGGAAGGTGGCCCAGTCTGCAGGGCTGTCCTGCCACCAGGGTTCCATCCCCAAACCTCCTGAGGGGACGCAGAAAGGAGGGGCTCCCGCTCCTCAGTTAGTTCTCCATGATCCCCTAACCCAGCACCCACACAGGAACCTGATCTTGGCCCATGAGGGTATCTGAGAAGTTGTAGAGTCTGGAAGGGGGACAGTGAGGACTTTCTGGCCTTTGTCCTGACCCTGAGAATACTTGCTCTGTGAACACCCCTCCACACTCCCTCCACCACCCTCACCCCACCTCGCTCCCTCTGCCTTGGGTTTCTCTCCATTTCGCCCCAGGGAAAACTAGTCACTGAGCGCATCACACCAAGTGCTGTATAAAGATCCCCAAAGCAACTTTGCACCCATCATGCCAGTAAGACTGGGGAGGGGGAAGACCTAGGGCCTCCCTACTGGCCTGTGGCACGGGCCTCACTCCAGTGAAAACAAGCATCACGAAACTGTCTCACATACTTCAGGGAGGTTATCAGGGGCTAGTTCTTAGGAAAAGACATCATGTTGGGAAAGGTGGAGGGTCGGAGAAAGATAGGAAGTCCCTCAAAAAGATGGGCTGCCACAGTGACCGGAACAATGGGCTCTAGCATGTCCGAGATCCTGAGGAGGCGCAGGGTAGGGCGGCGTTCAGAGTCATTACGAGTCATAGCAGCATCTAAACAACAGTGAGTGCTTGTTGCCAGGGAATGTGGGGGCCACAAGGGACTTGAGGAGTACACCTGGACGAGCCCTGCAGGTGGGATTTTATTCACTCCAGCCCCTCCAACCAGAAAGAAGGACTCATGTGGGTGATGGAGACGTACAGGCGGAAATAGATGGAGGGACAGACAGACAGATGCAGATGGACTGATGGAGACAAGTGAATGGAGATGGGGATAGCGACAGATGGACAAAGACAGATGGGCAGATGATGGAGATATGATTGGGGACTGAAGGACAGATGGATCGAGACAAATGGACAGATAATGGAGACAGATGGATAGACAGGAGACCAGAGAGAGGACAGATGGGTAGGGAAAAAAAATAGACAGAATTGGGGGTGTTGGTGAGGCTGAGCTTAGCCCCCAAAAGTCCTTGCCTTCTTTGTAGGGGGAGATGCCACTCCCCTGGTAAAATCAAGGTGTGATCCATCCCCTCGTGCCTGGGCAGGGTTGCAAGCATCCTGCCCTCGGATCTGGTGTCCCTCAGCGGGGAGCATCCTGCTTCCCTCAGGTGGGGTGAGGGTGAGGGCAGCCCGCAGGAGGAGCACCCCCACCCCCCACCCCGTGGGTCAGAACTCTGGTCTCCTCTAAAGCCACACTGACAAAATTATCTTGTAATGTCCCAAGTAAAACGCTTGTAAAATGCCATCAATGTTCATGACGGTTCATAAAAATGATCAGTTGAGCTGGCAACTCCAAAATAAGGTGGAAAGAAGTTTGAAGATGTTTTTATTGTAATTCATTTCCAAGACCTTGCTGCTCTCTCACAGTCATAAATAACTGCATTCTGCCCAAACCAGGGCTGGGGTGGGGCAGCCGGGGAGGACCAGCTCCCCGGGGACCCCACCTGATGCCCTGTTGTGGTGGAGCCCTTGGTGCCGGACTTGATTCTGAGAACTAGAGACCACCATGAACCCTGCACCTGGGAGCAGGAATGAAGACCCCCATCCTCTCACACCCCCTCACTTTCACCTCCTGTTTCTATGATTCACCTGCCCTCCCCATCCAGTTCCTATAGCCCATGTCTTCAGTCTTCATAGACCAGAGCCAAGCCCCATGGTGAGGGGGCCTCCAGAGAGATCCTTTCAAACTCCCCATCACATCTCTTCCACTGGGGTATGGTGGCTCCCATTGCCAGGAGTGTCAAGGTCTCTGAACAGATGATCAATCCAGGCTTATGTCCCCATCCCACTCTATCCACCTACTAAACTCCTACACAGACTTCAAGACCCTACTCACCACCACCATCCTTATCTTTCTGATGCTCTGATGCTCTGATGCACTTAAGAGGGTAGAAGGGAGGTCACAGTCAGTACTGGCTGGAAGTGGAGGCAGCTGTGCTGGGTAGACCAGAGCCTACGGCTGCATTTGGCTGAGTCCTTTTGAATCCCAGGGCCAGGGTAAGGCAGATTCACAGACAGGAGGGAGGTGGGAGGCAAACTGGGGATCAGACCAGGGGACAGCATGTGTTCCTACCTGCAGGATGTCTCTCGAAAGGAGATGTTCACATCCCAATGGGTGTGGACCCTGAAGGAAAAGAGGTCAGGTCAGTGGGTCCCATGGCTGACACCTGAGCAGGAGGTCTCCTCAAAAAGACACCAGGTGCGAGGAAAGGGTGACCAGAAGTCAGTGTGAACACAGATGGGCAAAAAGTGTAGGAGTGGCCAGATGTGGAGTTTGAGGAGGTTATTTTAGGGGGAGAAAAACCCCAGAACATGTTAAAATGCTGAGTGAGAAGAGTATGGAAATGCTGGGAATGTATAATTGGTTCTCTAGAAACTGGAGGATGGAGAAATAGACAAATAAAAGTGGATGAGCGGATAGCATATGGGTGGAGGAAGAAGCAGATGGATGAACCAGCAGATGGGTGGACAGACAGATGGACAGCTTAATGTGCCTCTTCCAGGAGGAAGAAGGACAGTGATCAGGAAAGTCAGGCCCAAGTCCCGTGGGACACAAGCGGATGAGAGACCCCCTATCACTGCTCCTGTGGAGTGAGGCAGCACCTCACTGGATGGGCCCTGGACCCAGGTTTTGCTTTCTGTCCTGAGATGGGGTCCTGCCCCTTTCCTTCCCCCACCTCCTCATGGGTCCTTTCCCCTCATTCCCTGCTGCACCCTGGCACCCTGTCCCAGCTAAGCACCTTCCCCCCCCGCCCCTGCTGCACCCTGGCACCCTGTCCCAGCCAGCACCTTCCCC